AGGAGGAGGAGGAGGAAGGAGGGAGGAGGAGGAAGGAAGGAGGAGGAGGAGGAGGAGGAGGAGAGGAGGGAGGAGGAGGAAGGAGGGAGGAGGAGGAAGGAGGAGGAAGGAGGAGGAAGGAGGAGGAAGGAGGAGGAAGGAGGAGGAAGGAGGAGGAAGGAGGAGGAAGGAGGAGGAAGGAGGGAGGAGGAGGGAAGGAGGAGGAAGGAGGGAGGAGGAGGAAGGAGGAGGAGGAGGAGGAGGAGGAGGAGGAGGAGGAGGAGGAGGAGGAGGAGGAGGAGGAGGAGGAAGAAGAAGAAGAAGAAGAAGAAGAAGAAGAGGAAGAGGAGGAAGAATAGGAAGAAGAGGAATAATAATAATAATAATACCTAATAATAATAATATGTAATAATATGTTCCCTTGAGGCATGAAAACAGTTCACCCCATGACAGTGACAAGATAAGGGGAGATAACATCTGATAAGAGCTGACCTTTGATGAGCGTAAACGAGGGTGGAGGGAGGGGGGCAGCTGTCTATCTGTCTAAGAGATAGGAGGAGGAGGAGGAGGAGGAGGAGGAGAAAGAGAAGAAGGAGGAGGAGGAGGAGGAGGAGGAGGAGGAGGAGGAGGAGGAGGAGGAGGAGGAGGAGGAGGAGAAGGAGGAGAAGGAGGAGGAGGAGGAGAGGAGGAGGAGGAGGAGGAGGAGGAGGAGGAGGAGGAGGAGGAGAGAAGGAGGAAGAAGGAGGAGGGAGGAGGAGAAGGAGGAGGAGGAAGGAGGAGAGAGGGAGGAGAGAGGAGAAGGAGGAGAAGGAGGAGGAGGAGAAGGAGGAGGAGGAGAAGGAGAAGAGAGAAGGAGGAGGAGGAGGAGGAGAGGAGAGGTAGGAGGAGGAGGAGGAGGAGGAGGAGGAGGAGGAGGAGGAGGAGGAGGAGGAGGAGGAGGAGGAGGAGGAGACGACGACGAACAAACATTTGTCTGTCTGTCTATTTGTCTGTCTGCCAAGCTCCCAGTCTATCCGTCTAGCTCTGTCTCAGAGAGAGCCACAAGACTGTGTAATCATCACGTTTACTCACATCTTCAAGCAGAGTATAGCACTTTGTCTGGATTTTTAGGGGAGATGGATCTTCAACTTCCTAACAAATCGAACACAAAGAGTAGTGGTCAACAGAGTTAAATCGGAGGCTGCCATAGTGAAGAGCTCTGTTCCACAAGGCACAGTACTCGCCCCCATTTTATTCCTTATCCTCATATCAGACATAAACAGAGATATACACCACAGCACCGTATCATCCTTTGCGGATGATACTAGGATCTGCATGAGGCTGTCATCTGCTGAGGACGCGGTTAACCTCCAAGAAGATATAAACAAAGTTTTCCAGTGGGCAACGGTAAACAATATGATGTTCAATGAGGACAAATTCCAACTACTCCATTATGGAAAACTGGAGGAGATAATAACTAGAACAGAGTATACTACTGACTCCGGCCATACAATAGAGCGGAAAAATAATGTAAGGGACTGGGAGTAGTAATGTCTGAGGATCTCACTTTCAAGGATCACAACAGTGCCACGATCGCACGTGCAAAGAAAATGATAGGATGGATAATGAGAACTTTCAAAACGAGAGATGCCAAGCCCATGATGATCCTTTTCAAATCACTTGTTCTCTCTAGGCTGGAATACTGCTGTACATTAACATCTCCATTCAAAGCAGGTGAAATCGCAGATCTAGAGAGTGTACAGAGATCCTTTACTGCACGTATAAGTTCTGTCAAGCACCTTAACTACTGGGAACGCTTGGAAGCACTTGACTTGTACTCGTTGGAACGCAGGAGGGAGAGATATATCATAATCTACACTTGGAAAATCTTGGAAGGAATGGTCCCAAATCTGCACACAGAAATCACTCCCTACGAAAGTAAAAGACTGGGCAGGCAATGCAAAATGCCCCCAATAAAAAGTAGGGGCGCCATTGGTACACTAAGAGAAAACACCATAAGTGTCCAGGGCCCAAAACTGTTCAACAGCCTCCCATCAAGCATTAGGGGAATTGCCAATAAACCCCTGGCTGCCTTCAAGAGAGAGCTGGACAGATACCTAAAGTCAGTGCCGGATCAGCCGGGCTGTGGCTCGTACGTTGGACTGTGTGCGGCCAGCAGTAACAGCCTAGTTGATCAGGCCCTGATCCATCGGGAGGCCTGGTCATGGACCGGGCCGCGGGGGCGTTGATCCCCGGAATAACCTCCAGGTATGTATACTTGTATTTATGTGTACCTGTGAGACAGAGATAGACAGACAGAGAGAAAGAGACAGATTGAAAGAGAGAATGAGGGAGAAAGATATTTAGATATAATGGAGGGGAAGCAGCATCCGACCCCATTGTTTTGACAGGCGGTAGGGGGAGTGAGTAATGAGACAATATGTCATTTTGACAGCTGCTGACTCCTGACTCAAAACAATTATAAGCCACACACTCGCACCCAAGACAAGCTTGCTGAATGGTGATAATAGCAGTTTTATGAAAGTATCTAGTGACTATATATGTGTATATACATTATAGAAACAAGAAGCAAGAAGGGAAGGCAGGAATGAAGGAAGGACTAGATGAAAGGAAGGAAAAAAGTAAGGAAGGACAGATGAAGGAATGTAGGAAGAGAGGTGGAATGCCCTCCAGGTAGCCTCCAGGTAGGAAAGGAATGAAGGAAATTAGGAAGGAAGGAATGATGACACACGACCATTTACCTAGGATAACTACATAACACAACTGCCTGCTAATACTTTGAAGAAAACTGCTCAGACGAGGTGTTTTGTCTTTGCACATAAAAAAAACTTCCACAAAAATGCACACACACTGATTTTATGTGTGAGGAGTGTAAAACACCATTGTGTATGACACCATGTTTTATGTGTGAGGAGTGTAAAACACCATTGTGTATGACACCATGTTTTATGTGTGAGGAGTGTAAAACACCATTGTGTATGACACCATGTTTTATGTGTGAGGAGTGTAAAACACCACTGTGAATGACACCATGTTTTATGTGTGAGGAGTGTAAAACACCACTGTGTATGACACCATGTTTTATGTGTGAGGAGTGTAAAACACCACTGTGTATGACACCATGTTTTATGTGTGAGGAGTGTAAAACACCACTGTGTATGACACCATGTTTTATGTGTGAGAGTGTAAAACACCATTGTGTATGACACCATGTTTTATGTGTGAGGAGTGTAAAACACCACTGTGTATGACACCATGTTTTATGTTTGAGGAGTGTAAAACACCACTGTGTATGACACCATGTTTTATGTGTGAGGAGTGTAAAACACCACTGTGTATGACACCATGTTTCAAAGAGTTCCACAAGCTGCAGAACTTCTAGGAATATGTTCGGTGACTGTATATTGGTATATGTATTATAGAACAATAGTAATAAAAAATTTTTTGTATTGTTTGTTTTTGTAAACAAGTTTTGTAAACAATATATTGATAATTATGTTTGTGTGCTTATTGTGTTGTATACAACGAGTGTATATATGTACATTGCACCTTACTTTGGTCTCACAGGCCACCTAAGTTATGTGAAAAAATAAAATAGTGAAAAAAACAACAAACCTTCAAATACAAGTAAACCAAAGTTTACTGGTGAGTGGCAGTCGCCGCTGTTGCCATACGTGGCTCATTTTCTGCAAACTTCATGCCTCTATATCTGAGTAAGTACTGATGGGAAAAAATTTTTGGGGGGACTAAAACAATCAGAAAAATAATCTTAACATTTTCATAAGAAAAAATATATTTTTTTTTTTCAAATATTTTGCGACACCAGGAGACACTTCAGGATTGGGCCTTTCGACAGTCAAAGGGTTAAACTCAACAACAATAATAATAATAATAATAATAATAATAATAATAATAATCTTTATTTACTACAAGTACATGTACATGGTATACAGTCCTAGCTGACAACAATGACATACTACTACATAGAAAGCCACTTGTTATGCTGAGCATCTCGGGCAAATTAGGTCAGTGTCCCAGGATGCGACCCACACAAGTCGACTAACACCCAGGTACCCATTTTACTGATGGGGAACATAGACAACATGTGGAAAGAAACACGCCCAATGTTTCTACTCTGGCTGGGAATCGAACCCAAGCCCTCGCCGTGTGAAGCGAGAGCGTTAACCAGAGTATATATCATGTTTCTGTTATTAATATTGTTTATAATGTCATATTAGATGAATTTTGATACATAAATAAGCCGTAGAGACAATATTACCGTCATATTGAAGCGTAATAAACTTGCCTTCCTCTTGGCTCCTACGTGTCTATCATACACCAACAAGTCAAGTTCATTTATCCATTTTATTAGTGCTTTATATTTATTTGTCATTGTTTTCTGTATGTATATTTATATTTAATCTTTAAAAACAAATATTTTTTGTTAATAATTTTGGCTGTCTCAAACAGATTAATTGGATTTCCATTATTTCTTATGGGGAAAATTAATTCGACTAACGGCTAATTCGACTAAAGGCTAGCTCTCTGGAATGGATTAAAGCCGTTGGTTGAGGGTCCACTGTATTTGGAAAAACTCACACGTGGATGCACTCGCAAGTAGAGGTTTCACTGTATAATAATAATGTACTATATAATAATAATTATATTACAAGATGGCTTCAAAAGGTCATCACTAGCTGGGGTGTTTACCACAACAAAGAGGGAGCAGTTGTGGCTGCCTCCACCTGTTACATACTGACATATTTTATTCATTCTAGAATATATATCAGGTTTTTATGTTATTTATATTGTTTATTATGTCATATTAGATGAATTATGATAGATAAATAATTATTGAAGTACAGAATTCCACTGAAACGGATTAATTGCTTTTCAATTAATTTAAACGAGGAAAACTGATTCTGCAAATGAGCAAACCCAGTTGTGAGCAAGGCCACATAACAGATTAAACTTGCAAGTGGAGGTTCCATTGTATATATGTACAAAACAAAAATCCTTACCTCCTTTTCAATTCGAACATCATGTATTTTGATGGCAAATATTTTTCTTTCTTCTTGGTTAAAAAGGCTGCTAGTTGCACCAACCCTGTCAATTTTCTGAAGTAATAACAAATGAAAAGAAAAAAGTTTATTACATTACTTTAAAATTGAGATATGAATATTTGATGGGAATAAATGGCTTCAGCTAATAAATGGCAATGAATATACTAAAATAAAATGCTTTATTGACAATCTGTGTAGTTCTTCATTAAAAGAAAACCATTTTATAACCATAAGCAGTACAATATTTTTTATTAAACATAGGAGAAAAATAGTTACTAAAATGTAAGGAAATTACTAACCATTCAATAAAAATATTAATACTGTAACTATGGGTATTTCAACATTGATCTTAGCAACTTACAATACTAAGGCCTGACTTCTTAATAAGAACATCTTCAAAACTAAGTCGCAACAGGGATATTCTTCCTATCTTGATCTCAGTTTGGTACTTGGCTACAATAAGCCAAGAAAGAAGTCTTGGGAAGCCCCTGAAAGAAAAAAAAAGTAAAAAAGTGTCAATTTTTTTTAATTTACAAAACTTGTCTTATCTTATTTTGGAAATAAAATTAATATAAGAAACACTGATAACAAAGTACGTATATGGTTATACGAGAAGCTTTTTGTCAAATAAAAATTAATATTGCAGAAATCATACCTTATCCATTTTTTCTTCTCCCATACATAGTAATAGGCAGATATGTTACCATGGTCATCTATCACAATTTGAATACTACAGTATTTTCATAATCTCCCTATTTAAATGTGCATTCCTCAAAAAAATGTAACACAGTTGCCAGCAATCTCCTGACAAGAATCAAATACTCATTTACTGAAGACTCGGACTTACGACGGGCTCTCTGACCAGTATGCATACCTAAATACTGTATATTTGAGCTGAGTTCCTCTATTCTGTTTATTACAATATGCAGTACACTGGTGTATAAACATTAAAAAATATACTAAAAATGTTATAAATGGTGCAAAAGTGACATTAAAATAATGTCAAAGATGGTTGACACAAACCCACTACCATTATATTACGCTCCTTGCTTAGTGACGAATTCATTTACTGACGTGGTCTTAGGAACAGAACCCTGTTCCTAAGAAAGTTTTTGATACAGTACACAACAGCATGTTACTCCTCAAGCTCGATCATTATGGTATAGGAGGCCATGCACTTGCATACATCAAGTCGTACCTTACTAATAGAAAGCAATATGTCTATCAAGGACACAACCTCCTCAACAAGATCCCTGGACATTGGTGTACCACAGGAAAGCGTTCCTGGCCCCTTCCTTATTCTTTTATACATCAATGACCTTCCAAGCATGTCACAACTACTTATGCCTATTCTCTCTGCTGACAATACAACTTTTGTCATCTCCCACCCTAATCTACGCTCACTCAATACTATTGTTAATGAAGAGCTCGCAAAAATAGCAACCTGGATGACTGTCAATAAACTTACACTGAACACAGACAAAACCTTTTACATTATGTTTGGGAGTAAAACAAGTGACATCCAACTAAACATTATGCTTAACAACATCCTTATTGATAAACATAATGAGGGAAAATTCCTGGCTCTACACCTTGACAGCAACCTGAAACTGAACACCCATATCCAACACAACAAAAAAAGTATCTAAAACAGTTGGCATCCTCTCAAAGATATGTTACTATGTACCACAAACAGCACTACTTACACTATACATACCATTCACTGATCTATCCCTACCTCAACTACGCTATTTGCGCCTGGGGTTCCACAACGACAAATCACCTAAAACCAATAACAACCCAACAAAAAGCTGCAGTGAGAATGATCACACAATCCACAGCTAGACAACCCCCTCCCCACTTTTCAAAGACCTAAACCTATTCACTATACAAAACATTCACTCATACTACTGTGCCACCTACATTTACAGGCCAATCAATTCTAATATAAATCCCGACCTGAAGCGCTTTCTTGACAGTTGCAATAGGACCCATGGACACAATACTAGGCACAAAATTCTCTGACATTCCCCATGTCAGGTTAAATCTTTTCAAAAACTCAGTGTACAAAAAAGGACCCAAAATCTGGAACTCTCTGCCAGAAATCTCCAGAACCACTGGCTCATCTAGAATTTTTAAAATTACAGTTAAACCCTATCCTAGCCCATCATAAATAAATATGCGAAAACTATATGTGCATTTGTTCAATATGATGAACTTAGTTAAAACATTATAATCACTATATACTTACTCTCACTATCTGTAATCCTCTAAAATGTTAATCATAATGCCATTGTGTCCACCTTAGGTTTATAATCAAAACTGTAATTCTTCTCTATCAAACTTATTAAAGCCATATAGCATGAACTAATAGACTAGTCAATTTTCTTGTATTCACTGTAACTCACCTAATGATCATATGTACAATTACTGCACTGTTATTGCCTTATTTATCTGAAGTTAGTCTTAAGTTTGCCTGAAATACTGTGCATATAAAGGGTTTTTTGCCATGTATACCCAATTGTTATACTCCTTTATAAAAACATGTATCATGCTGAAATAAAATTATTATTATTATTATTATTATTATTATTATTATTTATTATTATTATTATTATTAGAGGCTGTGGCATGCAAAGAGCACATTACAATTTATTTGGCATATGTCACACTCCCATATACTGTAGGCTGCCTCTCAACCAGCGAACCAGGTGCTAAGGGTTTAATGATTATTAGGGTACCCATCATTAACTCAGTACCTTGGTTCAATGTCCAATCACAGGCAAGCCTACAAAGTGTTGAGGCAATGTGGTTCACTCGCGGTCAGCATTTGCCAGACTTGCCTACCTGCTGGTTGAATACGGTGATCTCTCTCTTTTGCTCTTACCATTCTGTCACTGTAGTGCGGTACACTTACTATTCAATCTCTGCACATAGTGTACATAAGTGCACATGTATATATCTGGCAAATTATATCTGGTAAAGGAAATACAAGCTATAGTCTATCTGCTGAGCTTGCTTTGCTCCAAAACTCATTACGACCAAGTCACAAGCCATTCATTAACTGTGTTTGTAACAGAGGGTGTACATACTGTATACCGTGCAGCCTGTCCTTACTTAACGATGGAGTTCTGTTCCTTAGACCTCGTCGGTAAATGAGTTCGTCACTAAGTGAGAAGCATATTATAATAGTAGTGGATTTGTGTCAACCACCTTTGGTAGTGTTTTAGTGTCATCTTTGCACCATTTATAACATTTCTGGTATACAGTGGAACCTCGGCTTACGAATGCCCCACCATGCAAACTTTTCAGGATATGAACTGTCGTTCGGTTGATATTTTGCTTCTGGATATGAGCGAAATTTCAGGATACAGTGGTCCCTCAATAATCGTAAGGCTCGATAGTCGTAATTTTCGATAATCAAAAAGTTATTTTCGTCAAAACATTGGCTCGCGAATCATCGTTTGACTCACGAATCCTTGTTCGTCCGGGACGCATACACATGGCTCCAAGCCGCCTCGACCCTCCCTTCCCAGCCAGTGTGCCATTGTTTACCAGTGAGTGACGGTCCCCTCTCTTATTCATATGAAATATTTCATAATATTCCATTCATTTTAGTGCTTACAACTGCTAAATAAGCTACCATGGCTCCAAAGAAAGCTCCTAGTGCTAGGCCTTTGGTAAAGAAGGTGAGAAATACGATTGAATTCAAGAAAAAATCACTGAACAAAATGAAAGTGGCATACGTGTGGCTGAACTGGCCAGGATGTATAACAAACCCCATACAACCATAGCTTCCATCGTGGCCAAGAAAAAGGAAATCAAGGAAGCTGTTGTTGCAAAGGGGGTAAATACACCTACCATCCGACTTACGACCTGCTCGACATACGTCCACTCGACTTACGACCATGCATCTGGCAGCTGGGCTGGGCCGGCTGATGCACACCACTGTAAAATATTTGACAATACTCGCGGCGGCAATGCGTCAGGCAGGCAGCATCAGTTTGAGTAACCCTGTCCTATCAGCAGCATCATACTGTATTAACTGTACTAACTGGACAGTAAATTTCACCATGGCCCCTAAGATGAAGTCTGTGGCAAGAAAGGCTCTTACTCTCGAACTCTCTATTTGTTTTCACTGTTGCACATAAACCTGTCTGTATCTGTCTGCCTATATATCTGTGTATCTCTGTGTGTCTGTTTGTCTGTCTACCTGTGTGTCTGTCTTTCTGTCTACCTGTGTCTATGTCTTTCTGTCTACCTGTGTCTATGTCTACCTGTGTCTGTCTTTATGTCTACCTGTGTGTCTTTGTCTACCTGTGTGTGTCTTTCTGTCTACCTGTGTGTGTCTTTCTGTCTACCTGTGTGTGTCTGTCTACTTGTGTGTCTGTCTACTTGTGTGTCTGTCTACCTGTATGTCTGTCTACCTGTGTGTCTGTCTACCTGAGTGTCTGTCTACCTGAGTGTCTGTCTGTCTACCTGTGTCTGTCTTTCTGTCTGCTTGTCTGTCTCAGAGCCACTCATTAAGAGTGTAATTGGTCTTGAAGATGCCATATTAATAATGATAATAACACAATAATAATCACCGAGGCGCATTAAATGTGTATAAAACGTTGATATAGACATTTTGCTTAATCCATTTATGATTTCTTTTTCAAAATTATATAGTAAACATGCTACATAACATATAAACATATAAATTAACAAATATGAGATGTTTTTCTGGTCGGCTTGACAGAGTGAACAGGAATCATTCGTGTCCGGGCTGGTAACAACAACAACAACGTTTGTTTACATAACTCGCCAACCTTCTACACACTCATTCGTTTATTCATTTAATCTTGTTTACTCACCTTTCACTCTACATTAAGACTACAGATATTTTAAGGTAAGTAAAGAGTGGACACGAACATTATATTATAGTTTAATAATAATAATATTATTAATATTAGTACATATGTATTATTGTAATAATAATAATTATTATTATTATTATTAATTTAGGGCACTGGAGCACAGATCCACTGTATAGCACTGTGTCTGGATTATTTGGGTTATCCTAGGTAATTTATAATATGTATGATAACTTTACTTACATATACCTGAGAGAGAGAGGAGAGAGAGAGAGAGGGGAGAGAGAGAGAGAGAGAGGGAGAGAGAGAGAGAGAGAGAGGGAGAGAGGAGAGAGAGAGAGAGAGGAGGAGAGGAGAGAGAGGAGGAGAGAGAGAGAGAGAGAGAGAGAGGGGGGAGAGAGAGAGGAGGGAGGAGGGAGAGAAGAGGAGAGAGAGAGGAGAGAGAGGGAGAGAGAGAGAGGGGAGAGAGAGAGGGGAGAGAGAGAGGAGGGAGGAGAGAGGAGAGAGAGAGGAGAGAGAGAGAGGGAGAGGAGAGGAGGGAAGAGGGGAGGGGAGAGGGAGAGAGAGGGAGGGAGAGGAGAGGGAGAGGGAGAGAGAGAGGGAGAGAGAGAGAGAGAGGGAGAGGAGAGGGAGAGGAGAGGGGAGAGAGAGGGGAGAGAGAGAGGGAGAGAGAGAGAGGGGAGGAGAGAGAGGGAGAGAGAGAGGGAGAGAGAGAGGGAGAGAGAGAGGGAAGGAGGGAGGAGAGAGGGAGAGAGAGAGGAGAGAGAGAGGAGAGGAGAGGGAGAGGAGAGGGAGGAGAGAGAGAGAGAGAGGAGAGGGAGAGAGGAGAGAGAGAGGAGAGAGAGAGAGAGTGAGAGAGAAGGAGGGAGAGAGAGAGGAGAGGAGAGGAGACGAGGGAGAGGAGAGCGAGAGCAGAGGAGAGGAGAGAGATTGAGAGCAGACGAGGTCAGAGAGAGAGAGGAGAGAGATGAGAGAGAGAGGGAGCAGCAAGTCAGCAAAAGAGCCACATTCAGCCAGCAGCAGTTCAGCAGCAATTCAAGCCAGCACATTCAGCCAGCCACATTCAGCCAGCCACATTCAGCCAGCCACATTCAGCCAGCCATTCAGTCAGCCATTCAGTCAGCCATTCAGTCAGCCATTCAGTCAGCCATTCAGTCAGCCAATCACCCACCCAGCCTCCCACCTACCCACCCACCCGGCCAGCCAGCAAGCTACGTATTACACATGTTCCAGAGTTGTTTCTCTTTACTTAGGGTATAGGATATACTACATTCTGGCAGGATGACACTACCAGTGGTATTCTCCCATTCCACTATGTCGACAATACATAAAGATAACAGTAACATATGATACTGTATGCGATGTAAAATTTACAATACAGTTCACTACCATGTATACATTATATACAGTAAATAAATACACCTACCATCCGACTTACGACCTGCTCAACTTACGACCACTCGACTTACAACTGTGTTTTTCATGCCAAATTTCTGGGAAATAAACAACTATTTGTGTTGTACAGTGTTTATCCTAAACCTTACAGTATAAAATACAGTACTAACAGCATAAAAAGTAAAGTAAAACATGAAATACCAAAATAAAACAATAAAGTCATTACAAAAATGTGATGTTGATATTCAGTAGTAAAGTTCGACTTACGACCATTTCGACTTACGACCGGTTTCTCGGAACCGAACTCGGTCGTAAGTTGGATGGTAGGTGTAATTAAAATATAACAATAGAAGTAAATTATGGTAAAAAAAATGAAATAATGATTGTACATTACATTACAGTACTATGTAGGTAGTTTATATAGGAAAAGTTTGACATTATGCCCTACCCAGTATGTCGGCAATTTTCAAAGGTTCGACTTACGTCCATTTTGACTTACGACTGGTTGGTCGGAACCAAGCTTGGTCGTAAGTCGGATGGTAGGTTATACTGACAAAGATGAGATCACCAGTACTTGAAGATGCTGAGAAGTTATTATTGGTGTGGATAAATGAGAAACAATTTGCAGGAGATAGACTTATGCAGATGATTATTTGTGAAAAGGCTGGGCAGTTGCATGACGATCTCGTAAAGAAATTGCCTGCAACGAGTACTGATATTGGCGAATTTAAGGCCAGCAAAGGCTGGTTTGAGAGATTTAACCCCTTGACTGTCGCAACCCCAAATCCTGAGGTGCCTCCTGGTGTCAAAAAAAAAAAAATTATTTTTTCTTATGAAATGATAAGAGAATCTTTTCCCGATTGTAATGACACCAAAAGAACGAAATTTGATGGAAAACTGACAGGCTTACACTCTCGCGAAGTTAGTGACCTCAGCGATATTTACGAATCGGCGGTTTTGCCCACTTTGAGCCCGATTTTGAACAAATGAGGAAACAGCCTCCTCCATCCATAGGCCTCTCACTACACTGTGTCCTTTCTAAAATACTACCTGGAGTATACCTGGAGAGGGTTTCGGGGGTCAATGCCCCCGTGGCCCAGTCTGAGACCAGGCCTCATAGAAGACAATGTGTGTGTGTTTGAGCTGGCTGCCACCAGAAAACTGCAATCTCAGTCTGGTGAATAGCAACCACATGATATGCTCACACTGGTGCAAACTGGGATTATGTTCACTATGTGCTCCAAAACCAATGACTATGAGCCAACAGATGGCTGTGAAACTACACTTTCAGCACAGAAAACTTGTACTACTGTATTATAACATTTCACCCACCAGGTGCTTTATGAAGTACTGTATTCAGCATATATAAATGCAGATGTATATAAAAAAAACATATCTACTGTAATCTCAGGAGAATTTTATTTCCATAAAGTTGACGGGAATTCTGACGAAATCTGGGATTTAGCAACTTCCTAAAAGTTATCCAGGATTACTTTTAAAAGCAGTCTGTGTCAGAACCAACCAGCTTGACCTAGTTCAGGCAAACAAGGTGATCCATCTAACTAATATAAAGAACAAAGAAGAGTAAGCACAAATGACCATGAACCTACAACTTTTAATATTAGTGTACACAAAAGTACAATAATAGGAATGCAATGAAGGTCCCAAATATTTGCTTGGCTGATTACAATGGACTTAGGGACACTTGGCTAGTGAAGAATGGGATAACTAGACCAATGATTATATCAATGAAGATCTTACATATATGTACTAATGAACAGATTTACCAGTATGACATATTTCTAAATACTGTGCAAACTGCCCAAAAACATATACTGTTTAGTATTTCCAAATGAAATAAAAATTATCCAAAATGGATGAACAGAGGGCTTAAATATCTTATGGGAGAGAAGAGAGGAACTGATTAGTGCATATTGGTCACCCTGTGAACTAATATGTTCATATGAAAAGAGAAGTCAAAAAAGGGATAAGAAAACCTAAACATGACTACAAAATTAAAGTTACTAATGAGTTCAAGACAAATCTGAAAGAACTTTTTCACATGTACAAAACAAGAATTTGGGAAAAGTTGCATTCACTTTAAACTAGACTAGGTCAGATAACTGATAATGAAAAGGAAAATGGTCAACTTTAATGCAATATTTCCTGCCAGCCTTCACACAAGAAAATGCAAATAATATTTCATCAATTAATAATTCTGAAGTACCTAAGAAAACAAATTATGTGTTATCACAGAAAGGACCCCAATGGAAATAAGTCACTCTGTCTGACTTTTTTGGGTTATCCTAGGTTCTCTACACATATGCTGCTATGTATGATAATCTGTGTAACTGTATTTGTGTATACCTGAATAAACTTACTTACTTCCTTACTAACTCCAGGAATCAAGTCCGGCCTGCTGGTTTCCCTGAATCCCTTCATAAATGTTACCTTGCTTACACTCCAACTGCACGTCAAGTCCTAAAAACCATGTCTCCATTCGCTCCTATCTAACATGCTCATGCACGATTCCTGGAAGTCTAAGCTCCTTGCACACAAAACCTCTTTTACCCCCTCCCCCCAACCTCTCCTAGGCCGAACCGTACTCCACTTTCCCTCCACTACAGATTTATACACTCTCGAACTCATTCTGTTTTGTTTCATCCTCTCTACATGTCCAAACATCTCAATAACCCCTCCTCAGCCCTCTGGATAATAGTTTTGGTAATCCCACACCTCCTCCTGATCTCCAAACTATGGATTCTCTGCATTATATTCACACCACACATTGCCCTCAGACATGACATCTCCACTGCCTCCAGCTTTCTTGTTGCAACATTCACAACCCATGCCTCACACCCATACAAGAGCATTGGTATAACTATATTCTCATACATTCCTCTCTTTGCTTTCATAGATAAAGTTCTTTGTCTCCACAGAATCTTCAGTCCACCACTCACCTTTTTCCCCTTGTCAATTTTATGATTCACCTCATCCTTCATAAACCTATCTGCTGACACATCCATTCCCAAATATCTGAACATATTCACCTCCTCCATACTCTCTCCCCCCAATCTGATATCCAATCTTCCATTACCTAAGTTTTTGTTATCCTCATAACCTTACTCTTTCCTATATTCAGTTTTAATTTTCTTCTTTTACATAACCTACCAAATTCATCCACCAACCTCTGCAACTTTTCTTCAGAATCTCCCAAAAGCACAGTGTCATCAGCAAAGAGCAACTGTGACAACTCCTTACTTATGATGCCATCTGAGTCCTGCTAGAGCTATTAACTAGTCATACAAAAGTGCAAAGGGAAGGGAGCCAAAATATACTTGAGAGAAGGGCAGAGGTGTCCCCACCCCCTCTCATATATATTCTAGTTCCCTTCCCTTCATGCTTCTGTGGGTAGTTAATGGTACAAGTCGGACTGAAACATTATCATAAGTTTCAGTCTCCTATGGGCGGGTTATTTGTGAATTGTTCCAGTCATTGTATTGGGTTTCTTCATTCTTTAGATTATTATATACTTATGAGTCCCATAGCTCGGTAGACAATGCATTCGCCTCACACAGTGAGTGACCGTGGTTCAATCCCTGGCATGGGTAGAAACTTTGGACATATTTTTTTACACCTTCTGTCACTGTTCACCTAGCAGTAAGTACGTACCTGGGTGTTAGTAGACTGTTATGGGTTGCATCCTGGGGGACAAGACTGAAGGACCAAAATGGAAATAAGACAGACAGTCCTCTGACACTGTGACTTTCTTGGGTTATCCTGGGTGGCTAACCCTCTTGATTAAACATCCGAACAAATCTTGTTATATTATAGGGGTCATACAAGGACTGGGAAAATAAGCGGCAATCAGATTCGATCCAAGGAACGGGAGAGCTGGTCCAATTCCTTTAACCAAAAGCCTCTCACCAGCGTGAAGGAGCTTCCTTCAGGAGAGAAAGTTACAAGACATAGGTGAGTAAAGTGACGTAGAAGCTACAGTACCTGGTGATAATGTAGAAGAGTGCTACTACAGTCAGGAACACTGTTTGTAGAGAATACATGATCTCAGGTTGTTAATGTCATGGTAGGAGGGTGATGGTACCATCAATGGTATACCATGACTGGGGCGGCGCTCAAGTGCTTCTTGTTGTTGTTGTTGTTAAGGGGAGACTAAAGCTTACATTTTATTCAGCCTTATCTCCCGGGTGTTAGAGGAAAATGTATTACAGAAATCTGGGTTGGAATTGAAAAAAAAAGCAAAGTTCCTTCCAGAAATATACATCGGAACAATTTGTTAGCAATTAAATTAGGTGGACCCGTTGTTTAAACCGAGGCAAAGCCAAACGCCCCTCCCTGAGTCAACAATGAGAGGCATTACCCAGACCCAGGAGGTGATAAGATAAGATATGATTTCGTTCGGATTTTTAACCCCGGAGGGTTAGCCACCCAGGATAACCCAAGAAAGTCAGTGCGTAATCGAGGACTGTCTAACTTATTTCCATTAGGGTCCTTAATCTTGTCCCCCAGGATGCGACACACACCAGTCGACTAACACCCAGGTACCTATTTGCTGCTAGGTGAACAGGACAACAGGTGTAAGGAAACGTGTCGAAATGTTTTCACCCGCCGGGAATCGAACCCGGGCCCTCCGTGTGTGAAGCGGGAGCTTTAGCCTCCAGGCCACCGGGCCACCTGGCCCGGTGATGTATGTCACCCTAAGCAAGTGCCCAGTACCGGGCAGTGTAGGGTGAGGACCAGTGCCCAGTACCGGGCAGTGTAGGGTGAGGACCAGTGCCCAGCACCGGGCAGTGTAGGGTGAGGACCAGTGCCCAGCAACGGGCAGTGTAGGCTGAGGACCAGTGCCCAGTACCGGGCAGTGTAGGGTGAGGACCAGTGCCCAGTACCGGGCAGTGTAGGTTGAGGACCAGTGCCCAGTACAGGGCAGTGTAGGGTGAGGACCAGTGCCCAGCAGCGGGCAGTGTAGGTTGAGGACCAGTGCCCAGTACCGGGCAGTGTAGGTTGAGGACCAGTGCCCAGTACCGGGCAGTGTAGGGTGAGGACCAGTGCCTGTACGGGTATGTTAGGTGAGGACCCCGTGCCAGCAGTGGGCAGTGTAGGGTGAGGATCAGTGCCCAGCAGGGCAGTGAGGTGAGGACCAGTGCCCGTACCGGGCAGTGTGGGGAGGACCAGTGCCAGTACCGGGCAGTGTAGGGTGAAGACAGTGCCCCGTACCAGGCAGTGTAGGGTGAAAACCAGGCCGCACGGGCAGTGTAGGGTGAGGACCTGCCCAGTACCGGGCATTGGGTGAGGCCAGTGGCCAGTACGGGCAGTGTAGGGTGGGACTAGTGCCCAGCACGGCAGTGTAGGGCGAGGCAGTGCCGCAGCGGGCAGTGTAGGGTGAGGGGCCATGCCCAAATGGGCAGATAGGGTGAGGACCAGTGCCCAGTACCCGGGGAGTGTAGGGATGAGGACAGTGCCCAGACCGGCAGTGTAGGGTGAAAGGGCCAGTGCCCAGCACGGGGGAGTGTAGGGTGAGGACCAGTGCCCCGTACCGGGCAGTGTAGGGGAGGACCAGTGCCAGTACCGGGCAGTGTTGGGTTTAAGGGCCAGTGCCCGTACGGGCAGTGTAGGGGTGAGGACCAGTCCCCAGCAGCGGGAGTGTAGGTTGAGGACCAGCCCCCAGTCCCGGGCAGTGTAGGTGAGGACGTCCCAGTACCGGGCTGTTAGGGTGAGGCCCAGTGCCCAGTACCGGGTAGTGTGGGTGGGACCAGTGCCCAGCAGGGGCAGTGTGGGTGAGGTCAGTGCCCAGCGCAGGCAGTGTGGTTTTGAGGACCGGGCCCAAAGTACCGGGCAGTGTAGGGGGGACCAGCCCCAGTGGGGGCAGTGTTAGGGTGAAGACCAGTCCCCAGTACCAGGCATTTTGTAGGGTGAAGCCCGGCCCAGCAAGGGGGCAGTGTGGGTGAGGAAACCAAATTTGCGAGCAGTGGGCAGCATAGGGTGAGGACCAGTGCCCAGCCCGGGCAGTGTGGATGAGGACCAGTCCCCGAACAGGCAGTGTAGGGTGAAGCCCAGTGCCCCAGAAATGGGCAGTGTAGGGTGAGGACCGTCCCCCAGACCGGGCGTGTGGGTGAGGACCAGTGCCAGTACTGGGAGTGTAGGGTGGGCCCAGTCCCCAGAGTGGGCAGTGTAGGGTGGGCCCAGTGCCCAGTAGGGGCAATGTAGGGTGAGGCCCCCATCCCCAGCAGCGGGCAGTAAAGGGTGGGCCAGTGCCCCAAAACAGGCATTCAATTAAATTTTAAATTTCAAATTTATTCTCTATAAGGATTAAAATGTGAGTTTACAGAATATGGTTATTGTGTGGTTTAATGTAGCAAAAAAATGATTACAAGTGTACCATTTGAACACCTGCATGGCTAGGATTTCGGGCGACTTAGTTTTTTTAAAATTTTAAAAATATTAAAAAATTATGAGGAATTTGGTTTTTTGGGGGGCTAAGTGACTAAATACTGTTTGTGAGTTTGAAATGTAAATTTTTTGTTTTGGCACAGAAAATATTTTCGGTTTGGAGTATCCAGGTTTCTTTATTTTAAGATTGGTTAATTTTTCTGTTTATGGTAAATGGGTGAGTGGTGTAAGTGTAAAACCACCAGGTGGTATTCGTGTGTAGTTAGTTGACGGGGTGTATCAGGAGATAAGATTTTTTCTAATGGTAATTTTGAAGGTGATGAATGTGTTGCAGTTCTAGAGTTCTCAGGTAGGGCGTTCCAGATTTTGGGGGCCTTTTGACATACTTTTAAATTTTTTTGAAAGGTTTAGTCGGAACGGGGAATGTCGTAGAGATGTTTGTGTCTGGTGTTTATGCCTGTGGGTTCTGTCACACTATCAGAAAGCGTTTTAGGTCAAGGTTGATATTGGAGTTTAAAGGTCCTGTAGATGTAGATTGCACAGTAGTAAGTGTGGATGTACTGAACAGGGAGTAAGTTTAGATCTATGAAGGTGGAGGGGTGTGTTGCCAGGGATGGGATTTAGTGATTATTCTTATGCAGTTTTTGTTGGGTTATTATTGGTTTAGGTGTGTTGCTGCATTTTGATCCCCAAGCCAAATAGCATAGGTGAGGTATGGATAAATAAGTGAGTGGTTTATAGTGTGAGAAGGGCATTTTGCGGCACGTAGTATCGTATCTTGGAGGGGAAATCCCAACCGTTTTGGATACTTTTTTGGTTATGTGTTGGATTTGGGTGCTGAAATTCAGGTTGTTGTCAAGGTATAGGCCTAGGAATTTGCCCTCATTATGTCTGGAAATTTTGAGTGTTGTCGATCTTAATTTTTAATTTGTGCATCTCCTGCTCTGCTCCCAAAAACTTAATATAATAGGTTTTGTCAGTGTTAAGCGTAAGTTTATTGGCTGTCATCCAAGTCTATATTTTGATCAGCTCCTCGTTAATAATGGTGTTGAGGGTGGCAAGATTAGGGTGAGAGATGACATAAGTCGTGTCGTCAGCAAGAGAAAGGGTTTAAACGTGTTGGGGATACGTTTGGAAGATCATTGATGTATATGAGGAAGAGCAGGGGACCAAGGACACTTCCCTGCGGAACTCCAGTATCAAGTGGCCGTGTTGTTGATGCTGTGTCTTTAATGGTGACAAACTGATACCTATTAGTAAGGTAAGATTTGAAATAAGCAAGCGCATGGTCTCTTATACCGTAATGGTCAAGTTTGTGGAGTAGGATGTCGTGGTCTACTGTGTCAAAAGCTTTTCTTAGGTCAATAAAAATTCCTAGTGGATATTCCTTATTTTCCAATTCTGTGTGAAGCAGATCTAGCATTTTTATGTTTTTCTAATATTAGATGGAAGGTTTTCATGCCTAGATGTTTTGGACCAGTCATTTATGAGGTCATTTGCTTTTTCAAGAGGAAAGGGATGAGCAACATTGCCAGTCTTTTTCCTGGTTATTTTATTTATACCTTTCCAAGCCAAACTTAAAGGGGTGGACCTGGAGTTTACCTGGAGAGAGTTCCGGGGGTCAACGCCCCCGCGGCCCGGTCTATTTAATCCACTGACAAATTGTTCTCATTCCTGTTGCCCAAGTTCTTGCTTTCTATTCCTTGCATTTGTTAGTGCAGCTTGGAACGTTCTGAGCAGGTCTGGGGTTCTACATTCACGGTATGCTTTACCAATCCTCCTAGTTGCATGTGTTAGATTGCGTAGCTGTGGATCATTATAGTATTTACATTGGTTTTTATTGTTATTTATAGTGGAGGGTCTTTGTTTCCTATTCCTGCCCACTTGATCTGTGATTAGATTTTATATTTTGCCACCGAAGTGGCTAGTTTATTGTGCACCTCATATCCATCCTGTGGACGGTAGCCCGAGAGCATATGGATACACAAAAGGCCTAGGAACTAGGCCCCAAAGGGTTAACAGGAATACATATCGATTTATATCTACATATCTATAGTTCACTTATCTGTTACAAGCAAATTTAGGAAATTTGCTTAGTATATCTGGTATCTTATTTTCATTAATAAGATATCTTGACATGTCACATAGGTTATTATACTGTCTGTCTCTGTATTCCTCAATAAGTGGACAATTAAGCACATAGTGTTCAGAGAGTGAATATTGCCTGATCTCATAATTTGACATTTAGTTTGATCATCATCTGTGTTGTCTCCCAAAACTGCCAGAAAATACTGGTAACATGCCTAAGCCTGGCACTACAACATCAGCAGTCTGTTCTCATTGCAGTTGCTCCATAAACATACTTATCTACGTTCATTTTTATCATAGTGGGTTAATAGATCTACTCAGGCTCTAACTGCATTCCTATAACAATCATTGTCATTATTTACTTCTCTCCTAATATTATTTCCTTATGCTAGACACAGTTATACCAAAGTTATATGTTACGGTTCTCTTCTGGATACTCTTCTTGGTAACATATCAAATTTATCATGAATGGAAGTATTTCCAATGTGTGATGGGATCCATTAGCAATTGTTACATTAATTTCCTTGGTCCCTTAATTTTTGAGTATCTATACTGGCTTTCCCCAATGAGCATGTTATTGGAGTCCATTATATGAGCCATGAGCCTTTCAATGGATGACATAGAACAGTAATGATGATAGAGTCAAGTCAAGTCATAGGTTAGCTTTACGCGCCATTTGGATTGCAAACAATTCAGTTTGCAGTGTAGGACGCCCAAGTTGTTAATTCTTATGCCTAAACTCAACAAAATTTTATTATCGTTTCTTAACTAAGGGAGGTGGCAATCATGAGCCGGTGCAGCCCATGCAGAAGACTATTGTTTAG